AACTCTTCAAATATATACATTATATTCTGTAGCTATCGCTACAGATGTATGGACGCGTATGTTCTTCATTTATCATATTTTATAGTTTACACAAGTTGAAGAAGAAATTTATTCTGTTGACGTAAAAGTAGTGGAATGTTAGTTATGCACATATATTCTCTTGTTAACACGCACTGGTTACTGAAGAACTAAAATTCAAAATTCACATTCTAAGCCTACCTCGTGAGGCGAAGCGAACCCGATAATAGCAACAATGACGAATGCGGTCGCTCCTATCCCCAGCCACAGCGATGTTGTTTCATTCACGTGTGCTTTTGCTTTTGGCTTACCGCCGCTATTGTTACTCGTCATCTTTCCACAATGTAACTTCGTGATCTTGACAATGTTATTGTGAAATATGAAGTGAAATACAATCTTGTTTCGCTACGATTCCCGAATACGATTGCCGATAGACGTACGCTACAATATTTACTGTTTTCAGTATATTGTTGTGGATTCCAGCTGTGGATAGATGGTGTGAATCATAGCCTCCTAGAGAATCCATAGATTAACCCTAGAACCCTAAATATATTCGACGCTTCGTAGTGTACACGGCTTAAATTTGTTTTATTTAGTAGGCTATGATTTAATAAATATAATATATAATCATAGCCTCCTTGTACAAAATAACTTGTGAAACATAGCTCCTCGCCGCGCGGAGTCCCCGCGACGCGGCACGGCGGCACGTCGGCGCCCGGCGCCCGGCGTGAGCTGAGTTCGGTATTTTTTTTTCTTCTTAAAATCCGTAGGAAATTTAATAACTCTAAAAATAGAGGGGAATGGAGTTTTCTGGAGTCGAATCCTGTCCTCAGCTATGTATACGCTTTCAGTAGCTACTCTACTGGCTCTACGTATAAAATATAAAAATAGAAATATACTAGAGGGTTGCAACTTTTCTGTTTCTATTTATATAAATATTTGGAGGGTTAATGTTTTTTATATTATGTTTGTTTAAATAAAAAAAACCCTATATACAAAACAAAAACCAATCGGATCTAAAATATTTGTAAAACAGACAAGTTGACAACAATCAACATACCATTTGAATTTCAAAAAAAAAATTGGTGACGATCACCAATTCGTCGATCTTTTTATTTTCAAAATTATTTATTTTTTAAAGACCAAATTTGTAAAAATCTTTATATTTTATGCGGTCTTTCGGACTTTCCCGCGAGAAGCTATTTTGTTTTATGTTTTTTTTTTTAAAGCAGAAAGGGTGACCTAGTTCAAGTTGTTGGTGAAGGGTCGTGGGTTGGTGCCTTGGCGGCAGAAAAGATTGTTGAACGTGGACGAAATGTAAGTGCAAGGATTGTAAAGTACCCATCAAGAGTTAAGACAGTGGTGATTGAGTTTAGTACCAAGGCAATGGTACCACGAGGGGGTTAAATTCAAATGTGAGGATGGAAAACTGACCAACTGTACCGAGGCAAGAAATGATAGTACGACGAAGAGCGATAGGATTATGAAAATCCGATCAAGTCCTAACGCTCTGATTGCCAAGATTATACCAAGTACAAATGCGAGTATGGAAATCTGACTGATTGCAAAGAATCTTCCACGAAGTGCAATTACGATGCGAGTGTGCACAACAACAATGACTGGGTAAATCGAAGGCAAAGACTGTCGTCAGTAAACAAAATGCAAGTGATAAAATGGAAAGTTGAAAACTTGTAAAGAATCACCAATGATGACCAACTACGACGTTGAAAAGTACAAAAAAAAAACTGGGATTGAATGCCAGAATTAAATACAAGTGTGAAGATGTCGAATTGACCGATTGTAAAGACTCCCCACAGTCTTGTAAGTACGGACGATCATAATTTTTTTATGGGAATCACTTCCGTAGACGCTATTTACTGTAGAATGACCTGGGGGCGAGTACAAGGATGAGAAGCAAAAGAAAAATCAAGATACAATAGAACGACAGTCCCGTCATAATTGCTCGAACAAGGGGTAGTAGGGTCAAGATTGAAAAGCTCCAAGAGACTGCGATCGTCCGTGATGCGGTTTGTAATGCACACGTCCAAGTCTGTAGCGGTTCGTTAAAAATCATCATTGGGGTTTATTCATGATTTTAAACGTATTAGTAGATCAGAAATAAATACTGTATACTGATCATTTTAAAATAGAGTTGCTTCGAATGGTGTAACACTTAATGTATAATCCCACTTAGCTCAACCCCGACAACTTATTTAGCGTTTAATTATTTGAGTGCGTAGTATTTGTGCATTATTCAAAATATTTTAATCGTGTTTATATGAGCTTTCGACTCCTATACTCCTAATCAAGCAATCTCTCGAGTGGCGAATATAGTGTTCTTCCAGTTTGCGAACGGACAAATACACGGCCCATGGCGTACGCGGATTAGAAGCAATTAGTCGGTATCCAGACTGTGTAAAAACTTCACATGGTACCTATGATGTACATTAATTTGTATGGGGCAGACGGCAAGTTGTGTTCTAATCCTATAGATTATACGTCGATATACTTTGTCGTTGTATGTATACGATATTCGACCAGAGTGTAGACCCCGTAGACAGAACTGAACAAGAACAGAATTAGGTGAGAATTTGGTGCAGATATAGACCTACACTCTGAACGTTGGACTAGATTGTGACTCAAATACTGTATTGTGAGAAACGAAAATTGATGATTGCATTGCGTTTAAAATACACATGCACATGACGAAAAATTTAGTGGGCATACTAGATTTTAATTACTATTGTATTCCGATAATTTCAAAGCATAGCTCGCCGGGCAATCACTTACATGGTGTCAATTGGTGCACAGTATTTTGGGTAGTGGCGCCGGTTTGATCGCCACAGACAAGAACGGGCTTGATCATCATTTTGTCAACCTGATCAACCGTGATCCGCAGTATTAGGTAGAAGAGTCCTGGCCTTCGATGAAGATATATACTCTCCCTACTAGCTTCCAAAGCAGCTTTCCAAATGTATTCGCCGAAGTGTTCAGTGAGAAAAAAAGGTCGATAGTCGCATCGTCTGAGAATTGAGGATGGTCTCGTGAGTGCGGTTTTCAGTTTGTTCCAAATATATCTACGCAGTCCATTCAATGGCAGGCAGACATGCAATATCAAAGATAGTACGAGTGCAACAATGAGCAGCAAAGATCGTGCCAAGATGGGCATTTTATTAAAATTGGAGTGCACATCATACCCGTTCGGTGTGTCTCCACAGCCTCTGACAATGAATGCACATATCATTTTTCCACCAGTCTGAGGCGTATTCAGATAGGATTGGAGTGGATCCAAGAATTAAAAATCTTTACTGATTGGTGATGTGTTTGTAGTGGTTTTTAACCATGCGCCCATTCTAAAAGATGCGTATGCGGCCCATATATAGGCTATAGAAGGAGGCTTGCCATGTTCGGATGACAAAACCTTTATTCACTAGACTATTCGATTAAATATGGAGAAATACAGAAACTCGCAGGTAAAACTAAAGACGACCACCAATGGATATTATACTATGCTCAAACTGAATTTCATGAATTGTACATTAATATCTTTAATGGCATGGATTGATTCACTACAGAATGGTGCAAACCAAAAAAAAAATGTACCCGCTGATATAATAGAAGATATACAAATATACACAGTTGTAGATCCAAGCGAGAGAAAGTTTCCTAGTATAGGTACATATAAACAATTAAACACATGTAGGTGATTTATAGTGTAGAATTGCTAATAGATCCAAGCACGAGAAAATTTCCTAATATAGGTACATATAAACAATCAAACACATGCAGGTGAACTTTATAATGTTGAATTGTTAATATGCACACAAACTACATGCACAGCATCGATTTCCTGTGTCGACTTCTGTACCACTAATGCGGTTTAGATGACTCGGAATATCTAATATTTTGGCACATCCGTCTCAAATACAAGTTTTTTTATTCTTTACACCACAAGAGAATAGACATTTTTTTAAGACAGACTGCGAGTGTGAGTCAGTCAGACGGCAGATTGAGATGGGTCATCCATTTGGTTTTACATACAAGTTTACATTTCCATCCATATTCAGTTTTTCATATTTTTTTATCGTGTATGAAAAATGTAGTACGTACATACATGACATACATGCTTGATACTTGTAAAACACAATATTTCTGAATTTCATAGCCTTATTTTGTAAAGTTCAGATGAAATATCAAACGACAAACTCACAAGTATATTTATTTTAAAATATTTTGAAAATGGTATTTTATATAACAAAAACAACTGTTTTTTACTAAAAAAACATCTTGTGAAATTTACAATTTTACATTGTTCGATCTGTTCTGGTATGGGAGTTGTCGATGTATTTATGTAAAGCTTAGATCCAGTTCTCAGCAGTAGGAAATATATACAGGGAATACACTGGGCCATTCCAGTGCACCACACCGATACATGCTGCACAATTAATCATAGTCAGTTCTGTTCCAACTTGAAACTTATCACAAAGTTCGTCTAATAGCTGATCATGTTGTCGCGTGTTTAAGGTATGTAGTAATGAAACAGATCTAATTAAGCGTTCGGTACTTGTTACAATGTTACAGGTTGAAGCATGCAATCCTGGCAATAACACATTTTCCACTATAAATAGTAGCAGCGCATGATTGACAGAATCATCCTACAATCCAGTGGCGTTAACAATATACACAAACAATAGCGCAGATATCATGAAATTAGCAGTATCCTCGGTCCTATTCGCTCTGCTGGGGAGTCAGTTTGGACCTCAAGTGGTTGCCAATGTCGCAAGTGATGCCATCAACCACATCACTGACAGCCTCAATATGCACAATGCAGCTGTCAATAGTGATATCAATGCGATACCGGCTGTCGAAGCTCGTGTTCGCCGAGACCAGACACCGGCATCGAATAAGCCAACGATGGACGAAGAACCATTGACGGAGATTGAAGAACGCGGTCGGAAGCGTCATGGCTGTTACTTCGCTGGTGATTTCTATAGGAAGGGTACAGAAAGAGAACTTGACAATGGTCATTGCCGATGCAAGCGTAATGGAAAATGGGTGTGTGAATTCGAAGCACCGGAATGTCATTATAAGGGAAATGACTACGAGGAAGGGTCGTGGGTAAAGTGCGAGGGTGGAAGAGACTGTCGAAAGTGGACGAAATGCAAGTGCAAGGATGGTGAGCTGACGGACTGTAAAGCACCCATCAAGAAGTGCAATTACAATGAAGAACGTCACGACAGTGGTGGTTGGGTTCATTGCCAAGGCAAAGATTGTCACAAGTGGCTTAAATGCAAATGTGACAATGGAAAATTGACCAACTGCAAAGATGCTCCCAAAAAATGCGACTACGACGGAGCGCGATATGATATTGGTGATTGGATTAAGTGCGAGGGCTCTGATTGCCAAGATTGGATCAAGTGCAAATGCGAGCATGGAAAGCTTATTGACTGCAAAGAACCTCCCAAGAAGTGCTACTACGATGGAAGTGTGCATGACAACAATGACTGGGTAGAATGCGAGGACAGAGACTGTCGTCAGTGGACAAAATGCAAATGTAAAGATGGAAAATTGAAAGATTGTAAGGAGGCACCAAAGATGTGCCACTATGATGGAGAAGACTACGACAACAATGACTGGGTTGGATGTCAGGGTGGAGACTGCAAGGAGTGGACTAAATGCAAGTGTCATGACGGCGAATTGACCGATTGTAAGGACCCACCCCAGTCCTGTTACTACCGACGATCAGAATATTCTGATGGCGATTGGGTGCACTGCCGTAGACGCGACTGCAGAGAATGGTCTAAGTGTAAGTGTAATGATGGGGAGTTCAAGAATTGCAAAGATCCAATAGAACGGCCGTCCCGCTATAACCGCCCATACAAAGGGTGGGGTCGAGATTGAAGTGCTTCAATATGCTGCAAGACTTGGATTCGCAGTGTATAAATTCACCTAAATCCAGAAATAAATATCGATTGTTTCATTGATCTGTTTCGAATGGGGATGTGTTTGATGTTCCACGCTCAAACGTATATTAAAAATATTTTTGATGAAATTTTCGAATCCTGCATAAACCTATTTGAAACTGCAGACTTACAAGTGACGAAGTTAGAGGGCTCTTTATTCTGCTATTTGAGGTTGTCAACTGCTATTCGTCAATATATTTATAAGGTAATATTTTGAGCCACGGCGATAATGCGAATGAACTGGCATGATACAATTTAGAGTGAGGTTTTTCTGACGCTAAAACCGCATGACCTCAATCGATACATGTACAAATTGAACCTGCAGACTGTTCCATTATAATCCATGTCAGTACTCTCCATCAGACGGATTGAGACCGCTTGATCTCAGTATATCCTGGACTCGATACCAACATGCCATGTATTCCAGCCAAGGCCAAGACACTTCTGACTGTGTGGCTGCCATGGTTGATCAAGCTACCGATGACTCATTTAAATATCTGCATGCACATCCATCATCAATGACTGTGGAGACACACCGAGAAGCTATCTCTGTACAGTCTAAAGTATTAAGGGTATGATGTACCCAACAATTGAACCCACTTCGAAATGGACACTTTGATACGAGATTTGCTGCTCATTATCGCTCTCGTACTATTTTTGATGTCTTTATAACCTCTCATTATATCGACTTCGTACCTATGTTTGGTATAATATCGAAAACCGCACTAAAGCGACAGTATAGCTTTTCTTTACTATGCAGCACGCAATGATAATATGGACGGAGCAACACAAGGATTCTTTTTATGCATATTTCCCTCTTGGCACCATCTCTTACTATGACAAATGTACAACGTATCTTACGAACCATAGCCAACTACAAAAGCTCTGCAGTGAGACAACTTCGTTTTTCATTGCTATCCTATATTTTCAGACATCTTCGACCATACCCCCTTTTAGAAAAATATACTCTGGTATTTCTTTTCTCGCGGAAATCGGTAGGCAAAATGTTTTAATGTGCCTCTATCTTTAAAGCTACATAACAGAGCGCCGGAGCGGCCATGTTTTATAAAACGAACTTGTCTTGTGTTCAATCGCTAATGCAGGTATTCAGATAAGTTTTTGTATTTGATGCGAAGCCACAATACTGCAACTATTCTGCCTATACAGAGGTGTACGCCTAAGTTGATTTTATTATCTTATATCGGACTTTTTATCGACACATAGTCAAGAAATCCGGTGCAAGAGCGGAATCGCGTTGACTGGTACGCAGTAGCTCGATGTGCACATATTCTCTCGTGCATCGATGTTCAAGTATCACAATTGTAGATGATCAGGCTCGTGCATTGGCACTACCGGTAGCTCTAACAGTCAGTAAGACATAGTCATCACCACATGTGTATGCATTCACCAGAGTACGATACTTTGCTCTGTGTATGCGCGCTATATCCATGCGCTATATACAATGCTGGCCTATTACGACTCTCCCCTGCCATCGCCTATGTGGGTGGCTTCATCAGTTTACCTGTCGAATGCTATCACTACAGGCAACTTCAGACAATAAGGCATGCACATCATCACACGTGTACGCATGTGCCCATATACGTGCTTCTCTCTTCTATCGGTGTTTTAGTACGGTGTTAAAATCTGACTTATCACGACCCTCCCTTGCCATCACCTGTATAGTCCGCCCCGTCCGTGTCTCTGTATGTACTTGCATCCTGTGCTGTGTGCGCATGCGTATCCGTGCGTTGTGCGTACGCATCCGCTGACAAACGTGCCACCCCAGTATCCCTGTGTCTCATCTCCTGAACACTCCTGTGCGACTGCAGACTCCTGGCGCCTACCTCAGCCACCCCTGACGGCTTGTTTGCGCTATAGGTCCCTTTCTCCTCTCCGTGCTCAGCCGTGCCTTCGGATATGTGTGTATGCTTGTAGCCACCCTTCGTGGGGCGTGTCTGTGCTTGAACCATCCTTATATCGCCCTCGACATCCCCCACTGGGCTCGACTTTGCATCCCGCACAGTCTCGTCACGAGCGATCTCCCCCATTCTGTGTAGTGCTACCGCCAGCGCCCTGGCACCGTCATCACTCACTACCACATACTTGTGCTTATTTGACGCGACGACACCACCGCCGGCCTTATTTGGAGCGGTTCTGGACCCGAGCCAGAGAATCCCGGCCACACACAGGAAGATAAGGGCTGCCCCATATATCATACCCTCCCCACTGAAGAACCATATATTCCAATCAATCACTTGCTTGGCTATAGCCCAGACATCAAACCCAAGATACGACATACAGGCCAAGGCAGCTAAGAAGGTTAAAACTAGTGGCATGAATAGATAGGACAGTGCCTTAAGACCAAACTGAACGGTTACAAATACACTGGAAAGGGTAGAGACTACGCTTAAGAGTACCATGGCGGCCATGGCGATCCAGAGCAGCTTCGTTAAGAACTCCTGCGTGAAGGAAAATAGGGGTTAGTGAGCACCGTGTTTGCATATGTAATTGCATGTCTACGAAACTATATATACGCACTCACACGCACACACACTCACATAAATTTATACATTCAGAAATATATATATATATATATATGATATACTGTTATATATATATATATATTTATAAATATATATATTTATATGTAAATACTTTTATACTAACATCATTACTTACCAACTGTGCTACACGCGACTTTAATTCGTCCAAGGCCAAGTCATGTGCTTCAAACTTCTTGTCGTGCACACTTAGTCTCTCCTCCATTCTCTTCAAAGCGGCACTGGTATCCATATCCTTCGCCATCTCCATCTGCTGGCTTTTACTCTGGCCCCTTTTCTTTTTAGGATGCGAGCTACCTACCTCCGTAGTAGCCCCCCCAGGTGCTTGTGGTATGTGTGTAAGTGGGTGTGCCGCAGATGATACGTGCGACATAGACTCGTCGTTGCAGTTCTCTAGTGCTTCAGTCGACACATTGCGCACGTCTGAGCGCTTCCATATCTGCGCAGTACATAGATCACATGGCTTCAGTATGGTGTATGAGTTAAAACACGGCTGGGACGCCGCGGGGACTGAAAGTGTATAATCATAGGGGTAATTTATTTGTTCGTATTCAGGCTAAAGTAGTAAAGGATGTCTCAACCAGTACACGCCCTTAGCCCTATCACAAATACATAATCACTTCTGGAGGGCGAGACTTCATGGGGGTCTACAAATGGGTCAAATAGCGTCACAGACGTTTTTTGGCGACAGACAAAAATGGATGATAATGTCGACAGGGACTTAAGAAAAGCTTACGCTTTCAGTAATAAACTATTCTATTTATAAGCAGTTCGACATACAAACAGTTAAATTTTATACACACTTCTATTTCAAGCATATGACGGCAGTAAGCAAGCACGTGATCCAGGAGACAACTATCCAATAAAGAAATGTGAGCTTTTTTATATAATTGCACAATGCATGTGAATATACAAGTATGAGTAGAGCATGTGGGTATGTACATTGCCAAAAATAGTCCCAATTGCAAAACTTCCAGATCTTCATATGTTATCGTATCCAAAGACAAATCGGAAACAAGAGATGGCGAACGTAATAAAAAATCACATGGCATCAAGTAAATAATCGAACAGATTATACTCACAGACACAACCTGTTCTGAAATGTATGAATGTGCACAGTTATCTGAGGTGTATACGTGTATCTATCTACATATAATCACACATGTGCATGGGATGTATATGCGTTTGTGAAGGGTTATGCATGCACGGCTATTCAACACCCTATTCTATGTGGTATTTATATACGCAAGAAAAAGCTCACGGGCATTTGATAAGCGGCGCGACTTGACTAGTGTACACCGGCATCAACAGACCAGTCCAATCGTGTGTTTATAACCATCGTACTCGTATGCATACCCCTCAGCCAGCCTGAAGAGTCATACACAGCAAACAGGTCACCGCCTAAACCTGATCGCACACTTTGCCATACTATCTATGCGATCCGCAGGGATGCAACAGCGTATGTTTTAAATAGGGCGTGATAAGTGTGTTCACTCATAACAGTGTATCTATTTATATGCTTGTATTTATTTTCCAACTTAATATGTATTTAAACAGCGAACCAAGCACAAGTTCAGAAAGTTCGGCAAGTGGCCGCTCAATAGAGATGTAAAAGCGTAGCTACATTTTGACGTAGGTATGTGTGCATCTCTGGCCATGAATGCATACATCACCATATGTAATCGCATATATAATCAGAAGACCTAAAACCCTAAACCTTAAAAATTGGCAAGCCTGGATACTGCAACTGAATGTGTATACATATTCAGCCAAACAGCCAAGCCTAACAAATAGGTCTGAATACACATCGCGTATATCTGAGTATGTATTGATACATTATGCACAGGTCTTGTCCGGCATGTTACAATGAATTTACGTGTACATTACTCGCGTACAACCTACAGCAAATATATCTGAAAGCAGATGCGAATACCCGAGCTTGTCACACACTGTCAGAGTCACGAATATATATATATATATACGA